CTGTGTCCAGGGTAGTGCTAAAAGGAGTACGCTCCTATCAGATTAAGGGCAGAAGTATCTCTAGAGGTGGAGTCTGAGTAACAGGTCAAAACTGGTTTTCTTCTTGCCTGATCATGGAGTTTCACCAACTTTATATTTTATTTTTTAAATAAAGCATAAATTTAAAAATAGTCATAAGTAGAATAGATGCCCACATCAGACACATTGATGAATTTTAAATAAAAATGTTATTTTAATGTTTGACTTCTTATAGTGGTAATAGTGGTTTTTGTGCTTTAAAAATTATTGATTTTCTTTTAATTTCTGTTATAAAGGCATTATTTTGATTATAATACCTGAATTGATTCAACGATATTTTAAAATTCTATTGCCATTGATTTCCCTCTAAATTTTTCACTGTGGTAAAATATATATAACATAATATTTGTCATTTTAACCATTTTCATTGTACGATTCAGTGGCATTAATTAAATTTACAATGTTGTGCAATCATCACCATTGCACAATATCCGATTCCAAAATTTAACACCCCAAACCATACCCCTTTCCAAAATTCTTTCATCACTCCAAACAGAAACTGTAACTGTATAGCAATAACTCTTCAACCCTCCTTCCTCCAGCCACTGGTAACCACTAATCTACTTTGTATCTCTATGAATTTGCTTGTTTTAGATATTTCATGTAAATGGAATCATACATTTGTCATTTGTTTCTGGCTTATTTCATTTAGCATAATGTTTTCAAGGTTCATTTCTGTTGTAGCATGTATTCAAACTTCGTTTCTTTTTGTAACTGAGTAATAATCCATTATATGTATTGACATATACTGTATTTTGTTTACCCCTTCATCTGCTGCTGGACACTTGGGTTGTTGTCACCTTTTGGCTACTGTGAATAACACTACAATGAACACTGACTTAAATACAAGTATCTGTTTGAGTCCTAGCTTTCAATTATTCTGGGTATAGCCTACTAGTGGAATTGCTGGGTCATATGATAATTCTGTTTAGCTTTTTGAGGGACCACTAAATTGTTTTCCACAGCGGCTACCCCATTTTTCACATTCCCACCAGCAAAGTACAAGAATTTCAATTTCTCCATACCCTTACCAACACTTATCTTCTTTTTTTTTTCTTTAACATTATTGCCATCCCAGTAGATGTGAAGCAGTATTTCATTGTGGTTCTGATCTGCATTTCTTAATGACAAATGATGTTGAGTGACTTTCATGTGCTTATTAGCCATTTTTATATCTCTTTGGAGAAATGTCTACTCAAGTCTTTTGACCATTTTTTAAGGGGGCTGTTTGTATATTTGTTGTTGAGTTGTAGGATTTCTTTATATACTCTGGATATTATAAGATATATATGGTTTTGCAAATATTTTCTCCAATTCTGAGAGTTGTCTTTTTCCTCTCTTGATAGTATCCTTAGATGCACAAGTTTTTAATTTTGATGAAGTCCAATTTACCTACTTTTTCTTTTGTTGCTTGTGCTATTGGTATCATATCTAAGAATCCACTGCCAAATCCAAGGTCATGACGATTTATCCCTATGATTTCTTCTAAGAGTTTTATGGCTTTAGCTCTTATATTCGGGTCACTGATCCATTTTGAGTTAATTTTTATATGTGTTGTAAGGTAGGGGTCCAAATTCATTCTTTAACATGTAGAAATCCGGTTGTCCTAGCTTTATCTGTTGGAAAGACCACTCTTTCGTCTACTGAATGGACTTGGCACCCTTCTCAAAAACCTACTGTAGCAGTTTCCTTGGGCTGCCATAAAAAAGTACCATAAATTGAGTAGCTTAAAACAGTCCAAGTTTATTCTCTCAAAGTTCTGGATTCACGAAGTCCAAAATCAAGGACTTGGCAGGGCCATGTTTCCTCCAAAACTTCCATGGAAGAATCCTTCCTTGCCTCTTCCAGTTTCTGGTAGCCCCAGGTTTCCTTAGCTTCTGGTAGCATAACTCTTAATCTCTGCTTCTATCTTTACATGGCTGTCTTCTCTCTGTGTCTGTCTCCTCCTCATCATATGACACCAAGTTATATTGGCTTAAGGTCCACCCTAATGACTTCATTTAACTTGATCACATCCTCAAAGACCCTATTTCCTAATAAGATCACATTCACAAGTATGGGATATTAGGACTTTGATACATCTTTGGGGGTGGGGGACACAATTCAAACCATAACAGCCATAGATATATGGGTTTTCTTCTGAACTCTTCATTCTGTTCCATTTGTCTGTATGTCTACCCTTATTCCAGTATTGCTAGCTTTGTAATAAATTTTGAAGCTGAGAAGTGAGTTGTGTAACTTTATTCTTCTTTTTCAACATTGTTTTGCCATTTTTAAATTTTGCCAAACTTTGCCAAACTCTTCAGAAACAGAAAATCTTTAATCAATCTTCATTATGGGTCACATTTTCCTGCTTCTTTACAGGCCTGATAATTTTTTATTGGCTAACAAACACTGGGAATTTTATCTTTGTATTTCTGTATTCCTATAAATATTCTTGAACTTTGGTCTGGGACACAGCTAAGTTACTTAAAAACAGTGTGACCCTTTTGAGTATTGTTTTTAAGATTGAGATAAGAGTAGAACTCAGACTAGGGTTAATTATTTCCCCACTACTAAGGGGTAGAGACCAATTCCCTGTGAATTGTGAGGTTTTCCAGTCTGGCTGTTAGCAACAGGCACCATTCCTGACCCTGTTAGTGCCGGATGCTGTTAACTCTAATTTGAGCGGGATTTTTTCCCCTGCCCTTGGGTAGTTTCTTCACATATGTGTGCTGATCAGTACTCAACTGCATACTCAAGGGTAATCTTCCACAGAGTTCTTTCTCTATGTAGCTCTTTCCTCTCCGATGGTGTGTCCTGTGAATTGGAACCCATCTTGGTCTCCTTGGACTCGCAGCTTCCTCCCTCCACCTCACAAATTGTCAGACAACTTACATTTGTTACACATAATCCAGGACACAGACACCTTACCAGTCATGTCTCTTAATCTTATCTCCATGTAAGAAAAGATTTATTCTGCAAGCTCCTAAACAGCCATTCCCACATTTCCTAAGATACTGCTCTGCTAGTTGACAGAAATGCCACATAGAAAGTACCTCTTCCACTCTCTAATGAATGAGTTCCCCCCAGTTTGAACTTAAGATATGTTTCAGTTACAAGGGGCCTATATCCAAACAGAATCATTACTGCCTTCTTCTCAGTTGCTAGTCTCACTACTCCATCTCACTGAGGAGCCCAGAAAAATCTCTGTACTATTCTATTTCCCTCATTGAATTTCTTTAAATAAGGTTTCATTATACATGTAACTCATATACTCATATAGCTATATAGTGGCTTTACTTTTACTGTCTCAAAACTATAAAATAAGCTCTTTAATTTTAAAGTAAAAACGTACGTAAACATATGCAAATCTGACTTTTCTGGGGACAATGTAGGGTTTCTCAGTCTCAGCACTATTGATATTTTTGGCCAAATAATTCTTTGTTGGGTGTGTTTGGTGGGGGTGGTATAGGAGGTATGAAGAAGTATGTTATATACTGTAGGATGTTTGCAACCCCCCCCCGGTCTCTTGACCTTTGCCTACTGAATGTCAGTAGCAACCACCTCCAACCCTCTACCATGCACAACAATCAAAATGGGGACTTCCCTGATTGTCCAGTGGGTAAGACTCTGCGCTCCCAATGCAGGGGGCCCAGGTTCAATCCCTGGTCAGGGAACTAGATCCCAGTGCAACTAAAGATCCTGCAACTAAGAAGTTTGCATGCTGCAACTAAAGATCCTGCATGAGGCAACGAAGATCCCATGTGCCACAACTAAGACCTGGGGCAGCCTAAATAAATAAATGACTAAATAAATAAATATATTTTAAAAAATCAACTGTCTCTTAAAAAAAAAAAAATCAAAATGTCTCCAAATACTGCCAAATATCTTTTGGGAGAATTGGGGGAAGGCAGGATCACCCCAGTTGAGAAAATCTGGGCTAACAGAACAAATCTCTCTATTCTAAGTACTTGTTTACAGTTTTTTTACCAACAAAACGGGGGAGGGCAAGGGGATAAGATTCTAATCTAGATTACCAGGACCTATTAAAGTAACTAAATCTCAAAAACCTGGGGATCCATTTTTCTAATTACTTTGCTCAAAAACATCTTAAAAGGGCTTCCCTGGTGGTGCAGGGGTTAAGAATCCGCCTGCCAACGCAGGGGACAGGGGTTCGAGCCCTGGTCCAGGAAGATCCCAAATGCCGCGGAGCAACTAAGCCCGTGTGCCACAACTACTGAGCCTGCACTCTAGAGCCTGTGAGCCACAACTACTGAAGCCCCTGCACCTAGAGCCCGTGCTCCGCAACAAGAGAAGCTACCGCAATGAGAAGCCCGCACACTGCAACGAAGAGCAGCCCCCGCTCACCGCAACTAGAGAAAGCCCGCGTGCAGCAACGAAGACCCAACAAAGCCAAAAATAAATAAAATAAATAAATAAAATAAAAAATAAATTAATTTAAAAAAATCTTATAAGTATGTTTTAAAAGTAACTCCTTTATACATAATTCAGTAAATGCCAACAATCTGTATGCTCAAACTACTGGAAGATATAATGAAAACCTCGAAAAGAAAAAGAGAGATTAATTCCAGTATCAATTAAGTACCCATAATTAAAATTCAGTTTTACTTCATTCTATGCTAATTTTATGAATTACTTACAAGTCTTATTTTAAAAGTGTATAATGTGAAACTTCTTACTTCTTAAAAACAAAATTCTCTACTCAAAGCTCTCATTTTTCAAAATATAATCTCCAAGACTTAGAACTTATTTTTAAATGATACAAGGGGAGAAAATTTATTAAAATAGTAACTAGAGCTTAAAGAGGGAGAGCTGGAAAGTTCAAATGTTAAGTAGAGTTGCTCTCCAAAGGAGTAGAAAAATATTTCATGTCAGTTCCAGGTTTTGAGTCGACACATACAGAAGGCAGACGCAATTACCTGCAACATGAGCTCACAGTCATCTCTTCCAACAAAAATCATTTCTCGTGGCAGCCTGTGGCGAGTGCCTCCACTGCTCACCAAAAACCAGGATGTTAAGCTCATTTTCTGCTTAGCTTCTAAGTCTTTGGCAAAGCTACGTCATCCTGCAGAGAGAGATTCAGAAAAACATACATTTAGATATTTTCAACTTTAGCATTTATTCACCAAACCCTATAACTAGGCCTTGGAATAGAACTGCATTCAACATTTACCCCTGACTACATAAATAAGACAGGCCACGGGTCCCAGGAAACAACCTATCTACCAAATTCTCAGCAGTAAATTAAGTCCATGGACTCCATTAAGAGTTCACTTTGCAAACATTACAGTCCCAGATCTTACTACATCTCAAGTACAGTCATAAACTATAACCTTTGCCCTATGACTTTGCAATTCCTCCAATTAAAGGTGGGAGTAAAACTTCCCACTCCATAAATCTGGGCTCTGCCTCATGACTTGTTTTGGCCAATGGAATGGTGTTAATAGCTGTGATGCAAGTGGAAGCTAAAACGTGCTTGGGCAATTGGGTTTGACCTCTTGTACCTCTGCCATTACCATAGAAAGAACACGCCCTAGCTAGCCCATTACTTCAAGAAGAATGAGACACATGTAGAACAGATGTGTATCTAACACAGAACTTGAAGCAGGCCCTCAGTATATCATTCAACCCTTAGCTGAAAAATAGAATTAGTGTTGTTTTAAGCCATTGAGAGACGTGGAGTGATTTGCTTCATCACTGACTATAATGCACAAAAGGTGAGTATAATTTACTGAAATATAGTATCTTTTTAAAAGTACAGATAGGGCTTCCCTGGTGGCGCAGTGGTTGAGAATCCGCCTGCCAATGCGGGGGACGTGGGTTCGTGCCCCAGTCCGGGGGTATCCCACGTGCCGTGAAGCGGCTGGGCCCGTGAGCCATGGCCGCTGAGCCTGCATGTCCAGAGCCTGTGCTCCGTGGCGGGAGAGGCCACAGCAGTGAGAGGCACGCGTACCAAAAAAAAAAAAAAAAAAAAAAAAAGTACACTGATAGTCCAATACACTCACTTGAGTATTTTCAGAAATACACAATTGAAATTTTGTTGAAATTGTTCCCTTTTTTCCAGTTTCTTCATCTCAGAATGGTAACATTTATTTGCATAATTAAACCTAAGGCTGTTATGTGTTACAGAACTACAAATTGTAGATAAAGGAAGCTTATATTAACAAAAAGTCCAACAAGGAGAGAATCCAGCTATAGAAGAAGATGCAAGCTCACTTTTTCTTTGGGAAAAAGGTCACCATCTATAGTTTACTTTTTCACCATCTGGAACAGTTCAGTTTACCCACAGGAGAATCCTCCAATCTCCTCCCAAAGTGGGCAAAAGCACACTGATGATGCTGTGGAAGCCAAGTCAAGAAGAAATAACTGGGGGGAACCTCACCATTCCATGTGAAGAGTTTCTATGTATTTATCTCCTTGGTTAAGCATAGCACCTTATCCTACCCTTGAAGGACCTTGAGGGTCACATGTTTAGAGTCTCTCTGATTTAGTATCTTCAGATAATAAACCTCTAATCTTCTGCGGGAATAGGGGTTTGGGCAATGGAGCCTACTAGTTCTTTATATGAACTTCAACTGATTTTCTTGGTTTCAGTCCACCCTGTCTTCCAAGATAATTGGTATCTCACATTCCCAAGCCTTTCCAAGATTCTATGAGGATTCCTTTTTTTCTTTATTTCTTCCTCCCACAGCTCCCCCTCTGCCAAAACTTTCTCAACTTCTCTTCCCAAGTAGCTTCCTCTCATTCTCTTTGTATTAGTGAGACTGGGAAGGAACAGAGAAAACTCCAGGGGCCCTATTCAGTATACTTCTAGAAAACTGCTTCTTTTATCATATGATTTTGAAATAAAATAACATTAAAATAAACTAGCTATTCAAAATATAATAAAATATCTCAATGATCATACATTATCCCAATTTTCTTTAGTGTCATAATCGTTTCCTTTTCTTTTTTCCAGATTGACTCAAGAACGTTAGCTACTCTTAAAAGAATTGAATTCCCAATGATAATGTCTGCTCTCCATATCTGTAGTTTGGTTACTTCATTCTAATTGCATTGATTTCAAACTTCAGGTTATATACTATTAAAATTACAAACACCAGCTATGATTCAACAGAAGCTAAATAAAAGGGGCAAAAGTCTCCACAGTCATGTTAATCTAACTCTGGATATGCCTCCAAACAATCCCTGGACAAATGAGCATTGTATAGTTCATCAAACAACATATGATAGGCTAATGTTTCCATACTCTCAGATGAAATGGCTAAAAGAATATTCTTGGTAACTTTATGAATTTGGAAAGAAGCTACGATAAGGAAAACTAATGGATGAGTTCAAACACTTATGTATTTCAAGGTACTTCCTCATAAAACCTTTGTATTAAATTCTCCTAGTAAAACGAAGAAAAAGGCAAGCTGGATAAAACAAAAGGATCCTGTCTATGAGAGAGTCTGTATATGTAAGGACACAAAGAGGTTGAAAGTAAAAGGATAAAACAAGAAATTCCATGCAAACCGGAATCAAAAGAATGAGGTGGCTATGTTAATGTCAAATAGAATAGATTTTAATTCAAAAGAGCTTACAAAAGACAAAGATCATTATATATTGATAAAATGTTCAACGCAGCAAGAAGATATAAAAACTGCAAACATATACACACCTAACAACAGAACATCAAAATATGTGAAGCAAAAATGGACAAAATTAAAAAGATAAGTAGACAGTAGAACAGTAACAGTGAAGACTTCAATGCCCCATTTTCAACTACGAAAAACAACCAGACAGAAGATCAATAAAGAAAGAGAAGACTTGGTAACACTATGAACCAATCTGACCTAACAGATACATACAAAACACTCCACTCAACTATAGCAGAATCACATTCTTTTCAAGTGCACAAAGAATATTCTCCATAACAGGCCATAATGTTAGGCCTAAAACAAGTCTTAATGAAAAGATGGAAATATTACAAAACAACTTTTCTAATCACAATCTAATGAAATTAGAAATCAATAACATCAGGAAAGTTGGAAAATTCTCAATATGTAAAAACTAAACAACACACTCTTTAACAATGAGTGGGTAAAAGAAGCAATCATAAGAAAGTTAAAAAATAAATTGAAACAAATGAAAAGAACAATACAGAATAACAAAACTTGTAAGATGTGCTCAAAAGCAGTCCTAATAGAGACATTTCCAGCTGTAACTACTATAAAAAAAACAAGCAAAAAAAAGATCTCAAATCAATAATCTAAATGCACACCTTAAGGAAACCAAACCCAAAAGTAACTGAAGCAAGAAAATAATAAAGATTACTGTTTCTAGTTGTGGCCTTTCTTTTTTGCTTAAAGAAGTCACTTTAACGTTCTTGTAAAGTTTGTTTGGTGGTGCTGAACTCTTTTAGCTTTTGCTTGTTTGTAAAATTTTGATCTATCAAATCTGAATGAGAACCTTGACAGGTAGAGTTTTCTGGTTTGTAGACTTTTCCCTTTCATCACTTTAAATATATTGTGTCACTTCCTTCTGACCTGCAGAGTTTCTGCTAAAAAATCAGCTCAGTTCCTTATGTGTAACTGTTGCTTATCCCTTGCTGCTTTTTTTTTTTTTTTTTTTTGGCAGTACGCGGGCCTCTCACTGCTGTGGCCTCTCCCATTGCGGAGCACAGGCTCTGGACGTGCAGGCTCAGCAGCCATGGCTCACGGGCCTAGCCACTCCATGGCATGTGGGATCTTCCCGGACCGGGGCACGAACCTGTGTCCCCTGCATCGGCAGGTGGACTCTCAACCACTGTACCACCAGGGAAGCCCCCCTTGCTGCTTTTAATAACCTCTTTTTATCTTTAACTTTTGCCATTTTAATTACAATGTATCTTGGTGTGGTGCCCTTTGGGTTGATCCTATTTCAGACTCTACATCCTGGACCTAGATGTCTGTTTCCTTTCCTAGGTTAGGGAAGTTTTCAGCTGTTATATCTTCAAATATGTTCTCTGCCCCTTTCTCTCTCTCTTCTACTTCTAGGACCCCTATAGTGTTAATGTTTTTACACCTGACTTTGTGCCAGTGGTCTCTTAATCCATCCTCATTTTAAATTTAAACATTTTTCTCTTGAGCTTGGGTGATTGCCACTACTCTGTCTCCCAGTTTGCTGACTGTTCCTCTGTATCATCTAACCTACTGCTGATTCCTTCTAACACACTTTAAAATTTGTTACATATTCTTCAGCTCTTTTTGCTCTTTACATTTTCTAACTTTTTGCTTAACACCCCACTTACATCAATGAACAGATCATCCAGACAGCAAATCAATAAGGAAACATTAACCTGAAATGATACATTAAAATGGACTTAATAGATATATATAGAACATTCCATCCAAGAGCAACAGGATACACATTCTTTTCAAGTGCATATGGAATATTCTCCAGGACAGGTGACATGCTAGGCCACAAAATAAGTCTCAGTAAATTTAAGAAAACTGAAGTCATATAAAACATCTTTTCCACCAAAATGCTAGGAGACTAGGAATCAACTATAAGAAGAAACTACCCAAACCACAAACAGATGGAGGCTTAACAATATGTTACTAAACAACCAATAGGTCACTGAAGAAATAAAAGAAGAAACCCCAAAATACCTGTAGACAAATGAAAATGAATACACAATGATCCAAAATCTATGGGATGTAGCCAAAGCAGTTCAAAGATGGAAGTTTATAGTGATACAAGCTTACCTCAGGAAACAAGAAAAATCTCAAACAACCTAACATTACACCTAAAGGAACTACCAAAAGAAAAGCAATCAAAACCCAAAGTTAGATGAAGGAAAGAAATCATAAAGATCAGAGCAGAAATAAATGAAAAAGGGACTAAAAAACAATAAAAAAGATCAACAAAACTAAAACCTAGTTCTTTGAAAAGATAAACAAAATTGATAAACCTTTAGCCAGACTCATCAAGAAAAAAGAGGGCCCAAATCAGAAGTGAAAAAGAAGTTACAACCAATGCCACAGAAACTCAAAGGATCATAAAAGTTACTGTGAACAATATTATGTCAAAACAGACAACCTA